TCATCGATATATCAGAAGCTTTTGATTCAGTTCATGTCCCAACTTTGATAAATTGAAAATATGTGGCTCAGGAAACAAATTCTCAGATTCAATTGCGAAATTATTTTCAATTTATAGAATCAACATTAGTCACGGTAACCAGATATTCCCAGAATTAAACATAAACTGAGGATTACTACAGGGAGAACCGCTATCGCCATATTTGTTTAATTTTTATTTAAAATGATATCGATAAATTATTTCTACTCGACACTGAAGGTGTTCAAATTTCTGGAAGAATTTACCACTATATATTATATGCATATGATCTTGTATTACTTGCACCAACAAAAATCGCTTTACAGCACAAACTAAATATAATAAACAACTATCTGAATTCCCTGTTTTTAACGATCAAAATCTCAAAATCCATAATAATTATATTTAGAAATAATGTTAAACTTCTAAAACAAGAAAAATCATACTATTTAAATAAACTCTCACCTTGGTAAATGAAATAAAATATTTAGGAATATCATACAATTGGAATTGTAATTTTCAAAAGCACCTGAAAAATCTAATTACAAAAATAAATACTTTGACAGACAATATTATTTATCTACGCACAACTTTAAAAATGACAAATATAAAACTACAGATGAAACTATTTAACCTTTTGATTATCCTTTCAATATATTATGCAAGCCCTATTTGGGCAATAGACTTATTATACGATTTAGAAAAATTCCATGTCCATACCATAGAAAAATTCCCCTCTGCCCCACATATAATTTTCGTATGTTATTTACTTACGAAAATTATATGTGGGGCCGAGGGGGAAGAAAAAAACTCGATTGACGATAATATGTGATATATATCGTCATCGTCTCCCTTGCCGTCTGGACTGCCGAGCGGTAACAATGGATGACATGTGGAAGCAGTTGAGTCAGAGATAGATGCTTCGTTTACAAACAACACGACCGTTTATTAAACACGAAGGAAGCTCACGAGATTTCCGCGATCTTGGAAGTGCTGTGGCGGTTGCGGCCTCTGGGTCTTCCTCTCCTTTCCAAGACCGTCTCATTTTGAAGGAGTGTCCCTTGTTCGCGAATGAACAATTCCATCACGTCTCGACGACTCCGGGACGAATGGGTCGACTTCCGTTGATTGAAAGATGTCGATCCGAGGTCGGGAGATGGAGACGAAGATGGGTGCGAGACACACACACACAACAGATCCGTCACTTGGAACTTTCGGGAGAGGAAGCCGTCGCGTCCTTGAATTTCCGGGGTTTTATCCGTTTTCTCTCAGATTCCCCTTTCCGATTGGTCTCTCATCATCACCTGATGACAATTCGAAACCTTTTGGGGGCGCGGGAGAGGTCAAAATCGAAGTTTAATCCGATCTCCAACCGGAAATGGTTGACGGACTTACATTCTTCTATTGTTTAAAAGTTAGCGTCGCCTTTTCATAAAATAAAAATCTATCTTTAACTACTATATATTTTTTCTCTAAGACAATTATTTTAACGCGAATTTTAATGAGGGTCCTGTCCAGAATTTTTGTGTCGGACCTGTCCAGGGCCTCACATATATAAAATAGAAAGAACAGTTCCTGGTTATGCAATTCGTGCCGAAACTAACAGATTCCAACTATATTTCCGTTTTATTTAAAGAGACTGATTAAATTCTATTATTGATTACAACAGTCTAATGAAGATAATATAAGATTCTTACATCAAATAATGCTAAATCAAAATTTTAACTGATAATAAAAATCTATGGCAATATAAATTCAATAAATTATTACAATCTTTTGGTATATCAAACAGATTATTTGATAGTTCAGAAACGAATTGGCAATATGGATACTCTGTAATGATGGAATCAGCATTTTCTCAATCAATAATAAGGAATCAAAACTTATTATAATCAGTCTGTATACCATCCATGGTACATCAACATTTTAAACATCCCTTCTACTTCGAACATCATAACTGCTAATATCAATATGAATATAAAAAGATTATTAATTCAATTAAGACTTAATAAATGTTCATTGTTTATCAATAATACTTATTTTGATTTTACTAAGGACAGATGTTATTGGTGTAAATCAAGTGACTATTCTTTGAACCATATACTAAGAGACTGCGAAGGACTAAAGAAATATCATCAAAAATATGAAATTATAGAAGTAATATATTCGAAGCAAAATCAAGACTTTAGAACTAAATTAAACAATCTTACGTTAAATCAAATGTATAAAATTAATGGTTTTTTTAATCAAATTGCAAATGAACTAAAAAATATGTAATAAATTAATAAAACTTAAAAAATTTGTTTTTACTAATTATGTTACTTAAAGTAAAATATTTAAAAAGGAAACTAATGATAAAATTTAATACTAAACGATTATTGTAATGTTATTAATGATCTTGAATATGTTGTATATTAAACAGTGGAAAATTAACAAATGTATAATAATATATCATTGGAAAAAACCCCCTGTAACAAGGCTTAGCCTTAATGCAAATAAAATTTGAATTTGAATAATAATTTGTTATGACTACTTCAAAATAGTTGTTTTCATATATAAATGCCTAAAACATAATAAAAGAATTTGCATTTGGCTTACTAATTCTAAAAAAAAAAATTAAAGCTAAATTATTAATTTTGAAATTATTAATACATAAACTTTGTTTAAAAATCATTTGAATTGAAGTTAAAAAATTTTACACACNGGTTAATGTCCAGATACGTGGACCGTCATGGCGGCACTTCCTGTTTCAGCCTCGAAACCAGACGGTTTGCAGAGGTGTCACGTGACGCACCGACGCACGTTCTAACCTAACCTAACCTATTCTAATAAATTAGCATAATTATTACCAATTATATTATTAGAATAGGTTAGGTTAGGTTAGAACGTGCGTCCCTAATGCTTCCTTTTTTTTGCTGGAATAAGCGATGAGGCGCCATGACAGCCGCCGACGTTCGCTCGCGTTGTCACGTGACACGTCGTCTGCAAACCGTCTGGTTTCGAGGCTGAAACAGGAAGTGCCGCCATGACGGTCCACGTATCTGGACATTAACCGACTTAGATTTTTGATTTTTAAATACTTCAAAAATCAAAATTACAAACAGAGTAAATCCTATTATATTTCCTAGTATTTAATGACAATAAACATAAATTACATTATTAAAGGATACTTTAAACATATTTACAACTTACATATCACATTCCCACTATCACTTGAACAATTATCTTTTTCTCCTCCTTCTTCTTCTCAGATGTTAATATGGAGATTTTAGCTCATATACGCTCTACTCTCCAACTAGACAGGTTATGATCGCTAGGCGACCGATTTGCCGGCCGTATCCGAACGGCCAGTACGCGCGCGCGGGAAATAATGCCTTCTAGGAGGACTTTTATGGGGAACTGGCCTCCTATTCAGTCGTTATTGGCAAGGAGAAAACCCGGAAAACTCCAAGCAGCCAGCCTGCCGATCGCGGAGCGAACCCACGACCGAACTTCCCAGTGTTTAGGGTCTGGTCACCACTATGAGCGGCAACGGAGACCACTCGCCCACTGGTGGGGGCCAATTATCTTTTTACGAGATTCTTTTTCTTATAAACCTCCACCCATCATTCCTTCTGTCGATGATTTTATTTCATGATTGGTGGATTTCTCTTCCTATATTGTTGTTCTGTCATTTTGTCTTCCTATATAAATGTGTTTGTATAATTGCCTTTTGAAATTAATCTTTTCTTTTTTCTTTATTCTTACATTACGCAACTCTATTTCACATTTTTTCATATTACAATTCTCTGCTACTACTGAATTTGCATAATTATTTTTAATCACTCGAATATGTTCTTTTAAACGTAATTTCAATTTTCTTTTTGTTTCTTCTATATATGTTTTCTTTTGCTCACAATTGCAATTAAACAAATATACCAGACCTATTTCTTCTGTAATCACATNAATCTGATTAGGCTAAGTCTTTTTTTGTATTTTATATATTCTAAATTAAAATAATTTCCAAATTCATTGAATGGTTTCAAAACTTTTATCATTTTATTAGGAAACTTAATTTAATAAATTTCAAACTTATGTTTAATAATTTGCGATATACTTAACATAGAAAAATATACTCCAAAGTGGTGCAAACTTATATTACTCACTTAACAGACATAGTGCCTAAAACGTAAAATTAAACATAATTTTATTTTATTTGTGTAACAAACGATAAGGCATAATACAGTAATGACGTAAAATGTTTGAATTTAGACAAATTATTTGTTTTTAATGTAAAACGTCAAAATATTTATATCTATTAACATTGTATTTGACATACAAAGTTATTTTTTCATGCTTTGTTATTTATCTTAAATTGTCCTTTATCACTCATAAAATTCAGCACTTTATCTAAGCGAAACTTAGTTAATTGAAAAGCAATATGCTTTGTTTATTCTATTTAACGTTTTAAATTTAAAATTATATTAAAATAAATTTATATCTTTTGTTATAACTTTTAATATTAAATTATAAATCCAGTAATATTTAAATTAAGATTGATAGTAATTCAAAGTTGAATCGAAAAAATTATTACGTTAAATATTATGTATAGTATAAACTAAATTAATTGATTTCTTAAATAATACTGTGTAGTAATTTATTAAAATAATATTTAATACATGTAATGTATTAAATTTATTTGTTATATTATATTAATAGATAATAGTAAAATAACTAAATAAATATGCAATTATTAATAATAAATTATTACTATTACTAATTTCAGTTTAATAATTCAATTTGAAATATAAATAAAACATTTATTTTTTATCTTAGGATAATCAATAGTCCGTGGATATTATCTTATACGCTTATATTCAACATTTAGATATATTTTACAAATATATTTAAGTTAATTTCAGAATTAACCAAATTAATATTATTCTTGTTAGACATTTGCATAATTATTACACTAAATAATAATAAATATACTAAACACGTACTTAGTGTTCCACTGGAATATCCACCGTCTCTCTTAAAACGTTCTTTTAAATTATCTCCAGGTTTCAATGTTCTTTCATTACTTCCTGTAAATACTATCGCATTCAGACTTACTTCAGGCTTATGATTCTCTCTTTGCCGATCCGGAACAAACGCTAAGCAACAACAAAACACATAATATAATATTAAATTTTCAATCATTTCGGTTATAAAATAAACATTTCGAAGAAATTATAATTTAAACGGACGAAGTGATCGCCATAAAAGTATTGGACTATGTTACGACCGATATCTAATCTGTTTTATATAAGTACCGAATGATCTCACCGTATTTGTACAACAATTATCTGAATTTTTACAGAATATGATTTTATAACATGATAGTGTAATGTCCAATTTAAATGTACTGTACCTTATATGGGTTTCAATTTGTTTATTAAATTAGTATTAAAATTAATACAGAATTACTAATATGAAAGATGCCTGTGTGTGAACTCTTTATAACTCCTGTAATTTTATCGAATTCAGATGAAATTTTGGTTATACTATACTCGTTTTATGTTCTGACGAAAAGTATAGGCTACGTATTGTGCGGAAATATTAGCTATAAAATAAACACTTAGATAGTAATTTGAAATTATCACAAAAACAACTTAAATCACTGACAAACAATGTATTACATCAACGAACGTTTTTAACCCGCTCCACGGGCCGTCATCTGGTTTTCAAATTCTGGATCATTGTAAACTTTCCGTATCTCATAGAGCATATAAGAACGTATTTAAATTACAAAGACGTTCGAATATATTGTTGTTCGAATTCAAAATAAAAAAAATATATAATACAATATATGCACATGGATTATAGTAAGAAAACAGTAAAAATAAAACGACAAAGACATGAAAGAAACGAAAAAGAATAGAGAAAAATTACATTTATAATATCAGTTTCACATTGAAAGGGCGTTATACTTTAGATTGTAATAAATTTTTCTCGACTGTATACTTCCATGCCGTGGGTAGAATCATGGCATCTTTACAGTTCAAACACTTTCGTGAAAGGCTATATTTATATGTCTCCACCTTTTCCAAACTTATTGCCAATGTCTGTGAGTGCATTGAAATGGAAGGAAGCTAAAGATTTATAACTTTAGCTTCCTTCCATTCAATAACTGAGCCATCGGATTGCGCTATTCTGGATAAAGCTGTACTGCCTTGTCCTTTCCTTATAATCATGTTCCTTGTCGTATTTCAATCCCGGTGGAAACGGATAAGATAGGTTACAATTTAATGATCTTAATCTTCGCCATCATTACTTTTTGCCCAACAACGCTGGGCTCATCTGCTAGTTTTTAAATATTTTGACAAATGGCCAATTTTAATCTTATTTGATTAAATTTAAAATCGAAACTAAGAAATGATAGCCGCATCTTATCAGTTCTATAATGGATGATTCCGTAGTGAACACGTGACGTTTTATTATGCAATCGGAAGTGACGATCAAACGAGCTCGTTATTTACAGTGTTATTAATCTAATTAAGAATACTTACTAGTCATATTTGTTTTATCAACGTGGAATTAAAAAGACTCGCTATTTGGTCAAAAAGAAATGCCTTGGGGAAAGCGAAAGAGTAAAACTACTCAACTGTATGTTGCTTTTACCCGTTCAAGAAAGCGAAACAATATTAAAGCATAAATCTGATTGTGTGTGTAAGTGAATTCTCAATAATCCCTAGTATTTTTGCTTACTTCAGGTAAACTTTTGTTCTGTTGCACTTTGTTACAATAGCTAGTATAAACTACTTAATTTGTAGATATATTAGTAGCTGTTCTTCAATTTTCTCGAAATCTTTATTCTTCTCAATTCTTTAACCTCTACTTTCAGATAAAAAGTATTCCGTTATCCATGAGGGGGGAATTTTTAGTAATAATATAATTGCCATTCTGACAGATGAGAAATTGAAAGAATATTCAAAATAGAATATTATCATATACGAGTACAGGTATACCTCGCCTTACGTCGGTAATTGGTTTCAGGAAAACGACGTAAATCGAATTTACTTGTCTCCGAATCTACTTATCACTAGACTAAACCGTAAATTACCATTCCCGGTTCTGTATTTTATTTATTAATGCATTTTTAATAATATATGGTTAATAAAAATCTATTTTAAGCTTACAAACAAATAAATTTTAGTTTTTAATATAGTACAAAAAAAAGTAATCTAAATTTACGAATGCATGTACTGTAAATACAGTACATACTTGTATATATTTTAATATGATTTTATGTGCTTTAAACGTTTATCTAGTGATATTACGACTTCAATATTTGTGGCGGACAGACGTAAAGTCGAATAAAATGACTTAAACTTGATTTTTATTTTTCGATATACTTTTTTAACAAGCGACGTATAATCGGGAACGACGTAACTCGAAACGACGTAAGTCGAGGTATGCCTGTATAAGTGAAAGAAACACATACATACAGGTTATTTTCGATTTCCGGAAAATTGACACTTTATCACAGAAAACATTGGAAAGTGTAAATCGTTTCTTAGGCAAAATCTAGGATTTCGTACATCTTCAGCTTGACAGAAAGCTACTTTAAGCCATTGAGCAATGACTATTTTTACTTTCTTTTACTTGTTTCCGGTTACATCAAACTCATGTACATAAACTAATCTTTAATTTTTATTTTTTGTCAACATGGGGATGCGTATTGTCGCGTCCTTCACGGAAATTACCCCGAAAATTTTTGACAAGCATGCATCCCCATATAACTACACCATTCTTCGATGAATGTCTTTCAAAAGAAACATTAGGACAACTGTATGTTGATCTTTTCACATTTAGTAACAATCTTTTTGGTAGCAACGACACCATCCATCTATTGATGGTATCGATACGTATAGTATCGCTCGTTATACATGCAATTCTGATTGCAATAAATATCTTACTAATCGCACAGGCTTTGTATTAGCTAACTCTAAACACGTTACACATCATACACCCGATTGCAAGACTGTAGACGAAACATTTTTATATACCGCAGCGTTTATATTTATAAAAGATTAAACAATATTTAATTTTAGTTATTTTTATTTAACTTTAAACCTGTAATTTATCTAGTAAAAAATATAAAAACTAGGATTGCTTTTTGTCTAGTAGAATGGGTAAGTAAAAAATAAACTAATATCAATAGTTTGGTTTACAAAATTTTTAAAAATTGTTACTTGTTTGCGTTTTTATTTAAATCACCACAGACATGAAACTGATATTTTATTAAAACCAAAAATAATAAAATAGTCATTAAAAACTGTAAATTTTTATTATTTTATTAAGAAATTATTTATGTGATCTTGTAATTCTTCTGTAATTCTACTTTCAATTATCAATAAAATGTTTTAAATATAATTTTTTATCTAAATATTATTATTGTTACTATTACTAATAACATAATTTATGTTCTTTTTCTTTATCTTCGCCTTTTCCCTTGTTTATATGGGGTCGGAGTTTCCTTTTGTAATACGTTTTCTTCATTTCAACCTATCAAGGGCGTCTTCTTTCTTAACCCCTTATTGAAAATCATCGGTAGAACAAGGCATTGGAAGTGTATATAGAGAAAAGTGAGTGAAAGAGTTGATCATAGCGTAGTTGACAGATTGGACAGAAAAGTCAAGTTATTTGGGAGATCACCCATTACCTCACTCTTCCCTTTTCTCAAAGGATCCGACAACACAGTGCCAATTGTACCCAGACTATTCGGCTTCGCAAAACGCATAAAAATAGCAAAGAATTAGTAGTAGAAAAGTGTAAAAGTCCGACTTATCCATGTAGTCGTTTCTTTAGTTTATATTTAGCGGAACAGATTGGTATTATGTGAATCTCACATATACAGTCGACCCCCCTATAAGACGGTAGATACGTTCCATTCTTTATGAATCGATTTCTTACGAGTCCTTGCCAATCACAGCCCGACACGTGTGATGTTTACGGACTACGGCTGTTTGAAAGGTTTTCTTCCATAAAATTAATCGATTCTAGACTAATCCGACTCAACATTTCCAAAATACGTATATTTTTNATTTCTTACGAGTCCTTGCCAATCACAGCCCGACACGTGTGATGTTTACGGACTACGGCTGTTTGAAAGGTTTTCTTCCATAAAATTAATCGATTCTAGACTAATCCGACTCAACATTTCCAAAATACGTATATTTTTGGGGGGGAATAATCCGTTTAAACTACGCTATAAACAAAAAATTGTAGGATTACTTACCAAATGTGCACCATTCGACATCGCATTGCTCAAGCTTGTTTTCGTCGCGGAGCAGCATACCAAACCGCGGCCGATTTCTGATAACTTATTTTTCTGCGAAAACTTTGTTGAACTTTGGAGACATCATTTTAATATAAATAATTTTTATGGGCGTTGAATAAGAAATGTTTCTTTCACAAGAAATGTATAAAATTACAGTACTGTATTAGACTTACGGTACCTAATATACATACTGTACAGACGATAGTAAACAACTTACTCGCCTAAACTCTCTGTAGCGTAGCGCTAGACG